GTATCATGGGCGAAACAGTATACTCTGTTATGTCCATGGTACTGCTCATGTCTATAGGCGACGGTTACCACTTTCCATCAGGTGGGCCGTCAGCTTGTTTGCCATTCTAAGTTGTATAAAAAAAAGTGACAGTTCAGTCGGTAACATTTGACTGTGGTTCGAACGTCTGAATTTTCGAATTCGTACTTGGAGCATTTAGAAAAAATTCTATCACTCGCTCTGTGCTTCGGGCATAGATTTTTATTTAATGGATGATAATGAAATGGTAGCCCCGCCTGCGCTGTCGGTATACACTAGTGAGGCAGCAGTGAGGGATGATAGGTGAAAATGAAAAGGTAGGTCTGTTAGCCCATCGTGATGAATTCAACGATTAAATTACTCACAATGGTTTCCAGAAGGAACCGCGTGGAGGTCGATCTGATAAAGTATATTGATAGGAATGGGGACTAACCTCCCCATTACTAACAATCCCTTCTCCCTCGGGCATAGAATTGGCCTCTCATTCCTTCCCCGTAGGTGTTGGAAAGCGACTGAGGGAGAGCGAATAGGCAGCAGCGATTCTTAAAACATCTTCAAAGTCTAACTGCGGTTTCCAATCCTTCTGCCAAGCGTGGCAACTACTAGCACCCCCCAAGGGGGAGGCTTACGTTCAGCAGTGGACAGTTAAAGGCCGATATGGTAATGATGGTGATAATTCTAAAAGAACTCTAGTAATGAACTGAAATTTTAAATCATGCAAGAAGATACCTACAAAGATAAAATTAAAAATTATGAATTTGACGGCAGAAAGTATTCCAAAAAAAATATTCAAAGAAAAATATAAAGAGGCAAAATTTTTTATTACGAGTGTACGAGTAATTGATACCAAATTCGACTTAAACAAAAAAAAATAAAAGAAATAAAGAAATAACAAAAATTCCAGTAAAGTTCAAGTAAAAGTAAGAAATAAAATAAAAAAAAAAATAACAAAAATTCGAGTGAAGTTTTTAATTCCAAACATTTTTAATACTCACCTTTTATTATTCTACGGCATTTTTTTTTTATCATTCGCTATGCAAATTTATTTAAAGGGAACAAAAAAGACATTTCGCTGTTATTTTTTTTTTAAATTCTTTTTATAAATTTGTTCGAATATAACCTACCAACCAGTCTCTTTTTTCATTTAAGAGTTTCCTCTTGTCGGTGCAACTAATTCATGCATCTTCTTCCAGCCAGTACCGGGTCATAAATATTAAGGTATTCATTATCATCGTCATATCAGCTTTTAACTGTCCACTGCTGAATATAAACCTCCCCTTAGGGGTTCTGCCAGTAGTTGCCACGCTTGGCAAGCGGATTGGCAACCGCAGTCAGGCTTAAGAGATGTTTAAGAGGGACGCTGCTGCCCATCCCTCGCCGTCCCTTAGTCAATTCTTACGACACCTATGGGAAAGGAAGGGGTGGCTACCCCTTCGTTCCATACCGAGACCACACGGTCAATTAAGATTTTTTTTAATGGGTGAAAATGGCATGACAACCCCGCCTGCGCCATCGGTATACACTGGCGGGGCACCAGTGAGAGGTGATAGGTGAGGATGAAAAAGCAAGTCAGCTAGTCTATCATGACGAATTCAACGATAAATTAGCCACGATAGTTTCCAGGAGGAACCGCGTGGAGGTCGATCTGATAGGGTACATTGATGGGAACGGGGACTAACCTCCCCACTTATAATTTACTTAAACAGAGCAGTATAAAGAACTCTAGATTAGAACTCAGATTATATAGAACATACAGTGTCACCATACAAATGCATCGTGAAAACTGGGTCAACTTTTTCATACAATTTTGCGTGATAAATAGTTATGAGTGATTCCTTTATAACTTCTATATTTATTTTGTCTTAAAAATTTTTGCACATTTTTAATGCGCGAAAGCTCTTTATTTATTAAATAATTAAATATAGATACGTTAAGATACATTAAGTAAGGTGCGTAAGTATATAGAACGCTAATTAAAAAAAAACGAGTCAGCTAATTTGACAATTAGCTGACAAAATGTTGACCCATTTTTGAAGCACGATGCTTTATGTTATATAGATTCTGTATTAGATAGATTTAAGCATTGGAGCAAATTTGTAAAAATAAATCAATTGCAGTTCATAGAGTTAAACTCCATGGGTCCCGAAAGACATGATATTCGTCGTCAATCAAGGGTGACCGTCATCCGTCAACCAAGAGTTTTTTTTTTGATACAACTTAGAATGGCAAACAAGCTGACGGCCCACCTGATGGAAAGTGGTAACCGTCGCCTATAGACATGAGCAGTACCATGGACATAACAGAGTACACTGTTTCGCCCATGATACCTCCCATGCGTTGCCATTCCTGAGGACTCAGGTGTTATTCCTCTGTACTCTATAAATTCACGCCATATCCCACCCTTCAAACCGAAACACAGCCATGCAAACACAATTGCTTCACGGTAGAAACACGAATACCCAAGCAATTGACTTTTGTACAAAGTCTCCCTCTGGTAAGTTAGAGTTAGAGAGTTACTCCGATAGAGTTACCGTTATCCTTTCATTTCGGCCAAAAAATTTGCTCAGAGGCGTCAGGCTAATCAGTATTCTTAGAGATCAACGACAAAGGTATCTCTACAAATCAATACGACGATATTACATCGAGGTTACGCCCTAATTTCTACAGTCCTTTTTTTTACTTTTAAGTAGCTTTTAAAAGAAATATTCACAATTCCTAAGATTTTTTTTAAATAACATTATCAATGCGGAGTCGAATGTTACAATATTTCTTGCAATCAATACAGTTTGCTCTCGTGTTAACAATGTCGTGTTAATTTTGTGACGACTGTATATCGTCATAGTCGTAGAATACCGACGGATCTATATATGTAACATTTGTCAGATCCGTCAGTATTCTACGACTATGACGATATGTCGTTTGTCTTATTACAGAGTAAAAAACAAAATGCTCGTCGCGATGTCAACATGTAAATACCTATACGATTCCCCACGTTCTAAATTCAAATATTTCGAATATAAATTTAATATTTTTTTTAGTATATGTTTTACGGCGATGGATACAAGTTTTTTTTTAAACTAAAATTTAAATATACGTTCACAATGTTGCATGTATGAATTATTCAGATTTTATACGTATTTATTGCTCAAACGAAAAAAATTTTTAATATCAACAGTTATATAGTATTATTTGTTGAATAATGACTATCGTGAGTCATACCGTATTGCAGAGATTTTTTTTTTTGATGGGTATAAATGGTATGGTAACCCCGCCTGCGCTAACAGGATACGCTGGCGGAGCACCAGTGAAGGGTGATAGATGAGAATGAAAACAGGCCAGTTAGCGCATCATGATGAATTCATCAGGAATTAACCATGATAGTTTTCAGGGGGAACCACGAGGAGGTCGACCTGGTTGGGTATATTGCTAGCAATGGGATTCTCAGTCTCCATTACTAACAATCCCTTTCTCCCCATTATTGTAGAGATTTACTGGGTTTCATTGACGTTCCTCACGTAAAATTATTTGTTAATTCTTTGGAAAACATATAGCCTGAACTATCAACATAGCCAAGTCACAATCAGGTTGATCGATAGCCTAAATTTAGACGTCTTTATCATCATCACCTCAGCCATTATCCGTCCACTGCTGAACATAGGCCTCTCCCATAGAGTCCCATAATGAACGGTCCTGAGTCCCCTGAAACGTCTTGATACTTAAAAGTAGGCATTCTAATGGGCAGTCCAGTAAAACAGTTACCTATTCCTGATTCATTTTACGGCAACTTATAATGCAACTTAGAATGGCAAACAAGCTGACGGCCCACCTGATGGAAAGTGGTAACCGTCGCCTATAGACATGAGCAGTACCATGGACATAACAGAGTATACTGTTTCGCCCATGATACCCCCCATGCATTGCCATTCCTGAGGACACAGGTGTTATTCCTCTGTACCCAGTAAATTCACGCTATATCCCACCCTTCAAACCGAAACACAGCCATGCAAACACAACTGCTTCACGGTTGAAACACGAATGGGACAGAGGTACCCAAGCAATCGACTTTTGTACAAAGTCTCCCTCTGGTAAATCAATATGTGTACCTATTTAGTTACGAAAAAAAATTCTATGATTTTAATAGTTCTTTACGAAATATTGTTAATTACTAAGTTCTATAGGTAGGTACCAATTACGATAATCTTTAATCTAAAATAAATCTTTAAACCCATTTCTTAATTTACCAAAGGAATGTTAATGGGTTGATAAATTACTTTGAACTTCAAAAAAAATATAATAAAACTAGGTAAATATATTAAATAAAAAAAAAAAAAAACATATAATTAATTCGTATACGTAATGTACGCGTAGGTAAGCACCTAGCTTAATTTATGAATTTACCTATCTATGTGCAGGTTAACTGCGGGCAAATAAAAAAAAATAATGTCTATTTACAGTTTACTTTTTTTTTAACTACACATTTAAAAAAAAATTCAGATTTCAATATGCCGATCTACGTTTTTCCCTATATACACAATTTACCAGTAATAAATTTTTTTTTTTTTTAAATTAGTACTTCCCTGTCTACTTATATACATAATATTAAATTATTAGGTACCATTTCAAAATTAGGTAATTTTTATTTATATTTTTATATTAACGTAGCATTTGCGTCAATAAATTTAACTAATGCAAATCAGTTTATTAATAAAATAACAACCAATAAATACATATTTAACTACGTAAACACAGTGTTATTTATATTTAAAATTTTAATATATCACAAATTTTTGTTTAATAAATCCATTCTCACATATCTTTGTAGTTACATATTGTTGTTGATCGTTTAAAAACATTATTTCCTCATTAATATGAGTACTAAACAGTTTATTTAAAAATACTTTATATTTTTAGCATTAAAAAAAATAAATATAAAACATATATCGCCCTATATTCTTTTAAATAAACAAAAAAATTACACTTACCTTGTAAATCCGAAAAGAAACATTAAGATCACATAGCTATTGGCACATCGATAGAAAGTCACATACGTACAATTTGTAAATAAAATTCTTTATTCAAATGTAATTCAAAACATTATAAACTTGTAATAATGAATTACTATAGGTTATTTTTTTTGACACTTAGGTTGAAATGACGCAAGAGCGAGACAGAATCCCCTCCTACTAAGCATGCTGTAACGCTGCTTTACCGATATAACGTAAGTGACATTTGTCTCAATGTTGCCAGGACATGTCTGACTTGTGCTAAAAATCGGCAGTATTATTATTTGTAGTTATTATTAAAATTCTAAATAAATATAAATATATACTACAAGGAATACAGGTAAAAATAAAATATTTAATAGAAAAAGATAAGTATGTACAAAGAACGCTGATAAAACTATTAGTAATTGTCATGAATAAAAAAAAAATGTTTCACATTATTATGTTGTTACAAAAATAATCTCATGGCTCTTCTTATCGAGAAAATGAACAAAAATACTCAAAACTATAATTATTTAAACTCTTGTCGTTTATAAAGCTTTGACATTCACAAAAGAGGTGTATAGAATATTATTTCAGTTTCCTGTGGAAAGATACATTTGTTGATACATTTTATTTTTACTTCGTTTTCTGTTTATGTCTAAACAAAAGAAAGTCTATAATGTTACATATAAAATGTGTTAAATGTATAAAATTTTATTATAATTATTTACAAATTTAATCACACAAAATTACAAATATGAATTATTAGACTGGCTACTATCACTTCACACAAAGATTCATTAAATACTGTTTAGATAAATAGTGTTTTAAATATGATTTATTCCATACAATATTTAGTTATATAAATACTAATATTGCCCGCAATTCAACAGTCCGTGTGACTGGGATATATTCACTAACCGGGATAAAAAGTAGCCTATATCCTAGTCCATCGCATATAATACGTATACTAACTTTCATAGTGATTAGTTAAGTCGTCGAGGCACTAAACGATAACAAACTCACGTTCCCATTTCTAATATTACTAAAGAACTTCAATATAAGTATGTAACTCTGAAAATGAATTTGCCATAGTATTCTAAATACATCACTAATTGTACAAATATTTGTTTATATATTAATTACAGTTATTGTTTAATTAATATTAATCCTGGTGCTACATATCTGTAATCTATGGTAAATATGAGTTTGTTATAGTATTTTAAAAACATCATTAATTATATAAATATTTGTTATTATATTAATTGTAGTAGTTGCTATTTAGTTAATATAAAGTCCTGGGTATATGGGAGTTTGATTTATCATAGTGGATTACCTCATATTGAATGCGACAACCCACAGCGAAAAGTCAAATGCATTTTTGTTGCCGTTTTTGTTTTATTAGAATCTAATTAAAATTCTAATACTACCTAGTATCTATCTATCTAAACTATCTAAAGGTAAAATTTTGTATAGATTTGACATCTCATTCTAGTGCTTGATTACCTATTTTTGAAAGTAAACAATAAAGGTTTTATTTCAGATTAATTGATGGATACAGAGTAGTTTATTTACATACTGGGGCTGATTCTGAAGTACCATTTTTCTAAACCTGTCTTTTTATGTAATATTTCAATATGGTAATATTGGAAAATTTCTATTTTATAAAATAATATTATTGACTTAAATCTATTAGAAAATTAGTTTAATTTCTTTTTTATTCACGTCAAATTGAATTTTTGATTTTAGAAAAAAGGTTTATAGAAACGGCGCCTCTGAATCGACCCACTGTTTATTTATAAATAAAGATGAAACTCAAACAAACAATCTCCAATGTTATTGGCTAGAATGCAATCTGGCATTTACTTGTTTATGCGTGTTATTCTAGTGCATGAGGCACTCCATGTTTGTATTGCCATCTAGTGAGTAAAAAACTAAACAGTAATTTTTTTTGCTAATCGTAGCAATTACTTTTTAACTAAGTACTTGCATATAATGATAGAGGGCGTTAGTATTTATTGTTACAATAATCTAATATTAAAACTGATGCTGATGATGAATTAGAGATTTCAAGTAAGTAATTATATAGTATTTAGATTCGATAATCTATTATATGTACTCGTATTCTAAATACTTGTATTCAAGGGTTTATGTGATAAAAGTTTGTATGAAAGTTTTATTGTATTTAAAGCTAGAAGAATAAAATTTCTGTTCGTAAATTAATAAAATACTTTTTAACTGGAAACTTTAAACTTGAAACTGGAAACTTTATTTCGAAAGAGAGATAAAAATTCGTTTTGGATTTCTATTATTTTCAAAGTTAGAAGTTATTAATTTTTTTTAAAAATTATTATTAGAAACGTCAGCAGTGTTTGGAAATTCTACCCTTATGAGAGGTTGTAATGTGGTAAAAAAATATTGTAGAATGGTTTTTTCTATAACCATACTGACTTTTGCAAAAAACTGTGTATTATTCTAGAAACGTACACGTTCACTGTTATTATTATAATTTTTTCAAAAATTTTATAAGATGATTGGTATAATTTTTTTTTTTAATGGGTGAAAATAGTATGGTTACCCCGCCTGCGCTAACGGGATACGCTGGCGGAGCACCAGTGGAGGGTGATAGATGAGAATGAAAACAGGCCAGTTAGCCCATCGTGATGAATTCATCAGGACTTAACCATGATGGTTTCCAGGGGGAACCACGAGGAGGTCGACCTGGTTGGGTATATTGCTAGCAATAGGATTCTCAGTCTCCATTACTAACAATCTCTTTCCCTCCGATCGGTAACATTGCTGTATGGTGGTAACTGGAAACATAAAAATTTATTCCGCTTTTTGAAAACTATTTTTCAAAGCTAACTTTGAACGTTTAGGAAATAAACTCACTGTTCTATTATTATCCGATGACGTAAGAGTCGACCTTAAAACTTTGATGGCGCCCTCTAGTGATTAAAAGGGGTACTGATCCTCCTTTACACCTCGACACCATCTTTGGGCCTCGACACTTCCCTTGGATTTTACGTCAATACCCAATGGGGGTGTCAAGGTCGCTCCTCTAATTCCGCCCCCTTTCCTAAACACATCACACACACAGCTACAGATCATAGTTTCCTTTAGCATTCACACAGAGGAATTAAACAACAATTTACAACATACAAAATGTATACTCGCACGATCATCCAAATTCATCTGTTACCATAGACAACGGTAATCAAAAGATCTGATTGCCAAAAAGTGGGCCCCATCCATCAACGAAAACAAAATATTGCGCAACGGTTACGCAAGGGTCGTGGGTTCGCAGCCCGGCCGAGACAATGATGATATGACGGTCGTGTAATGATAGAGACGGTGCCACATTTAGTTTTGTGACCGCTCTCTAGGAAATTGCCTACTGGCTATGAATTTAACACGGTATTATTCTAAAGAGCTATATTATGTATGTACTTATGGCGACTTACATTAGTTACGCGTTATATGGCTTAAACTTCTACCGGCGGCCTTTTTACGGAACTAATTCATTTTCAAAATTCACCATATAATTGTAATGTATGATATTATGAATATTTTATTGAATTATGCGGTATTATGTGTAAGTCCATATTACTGGTTGTTTAGATAGATAGATAGATAGATAGATAGATACTCTTTATTGTTTCCTTCAAAAGATTACAATAGTAAACTTATTATAAATATAAATAATTACAAGAAATAATCACAATGAGAAAACAATAGGCGGCCCTATCGCTTATAGCGATCTCTTCCAGGCAACCTTTGGATGGAGAGGAGTAATTATAAACAATTCGATGGGAGGCACGATGAAAAATTTTGTTAGTTCTAAATATGGGAGATGTGATACATGTAATAATGTAAATATTATCCCTGCTCATTATTAAATTTAATTAAATAAAATAATTCTAATTAAATAATCAAAAATATTATAAAATATTCATTGTGTGATCCCAGGATAGGAAAGGCCACCTTTTCATTTCCCATGTCGTAGGAGTCAACTAAGGGAACTCAATGGTCGAGAGTTGGGCGGTAGCGTTCCTCTTAAAACATCACCAAAGCCTAACAGTGGTCGCTGACCCGTCTGCCAAGCGTGGCAACTATTTTTTTTATACAACTTAGAATGACAAATAAGCTGACGGCCCACCTGATGGAAAGTGGTAACAGTCGCCTATAGGCATGAGCAGTACCATGGACATAACAGAGTATACTGTTTCGCCCATAATACCCCCCCAGGCGTTGCCATACCTGAGGACTCAGATGTTATTCCTCTGTACCCAGTAAATTCACGCCATATCCCACCCTTCAAACTGAAACACAGCTGGTGTAGAAACACGAATGGGACAGAGATACCTAAGCAATCGACTTTTGTATAAAGCCTAACAGTGGTCGCTGACCCGCCTGCCAAGCGTGGCAAGTACTGGCAAAACTTCCTAATAGGGTTAGGCCTATGTTCATCAGTGGGCAGTTAATGGCTGGTATGATGATGATGATGATGATAAATGTGAAGGGAGTTTGTTCATTTGATACCTACTAATCACTATGAAGTTAAGTATACACTTGTATGTATGTAGTCTTATTGCCAGCAGCATACCGTATCAGGTTATATCATTCTGATGTCGCGTGGAAATTCACGTGATATCCCTGGAAATCGCGATATTGGTTAATTCTTTGTGAATTTCTTACCATGAGCAAACTGACCTGTAAACTGAAACAAGTAGGTCAGTAGATTACGATATATTTTTTTTAATAACACAGGGGGCACACGAGCATGCGGCTCACCTGATGGTAAGTGACTACCGCCGCCCATGATCACCCACAACACTAACGGCATTGCAGGTGTGCTGCCGGCCTTTTAAAAAGGAATATACTCTTTTCTTGAATGTTATGTTGTCGTATCGGTTCGGAAATACTGCTGCTGGAACTTGATTCCAAAGTGTGGTTGTGCGTGGAAGAAAGTGTCTTGAAAAACACACGGTGGAAGACCGCCACTCGTCCAGATGATTGGGATGTAACTATAGTTTGTGGCGGGTTGTACAGTGGTGAAAATCAGCAGCAGGTATCAATCCGAACAATTCCCCATGATAAATTCGGTAGAAGTAATAAATAAGTATTAAGTTACAGAAGTACCTC